TATAGGGGAACAGGTGGTAAACTCACCAGGACCCGACAGCATAGCCTTTATTGTGCCACTGGTAAGAGCGAATTCACGCTTGATGTAGAATTCATGTTCGTCCGAAGAAACTAGTTTAACGTACATAGCATCCGGGCCCTCGGCTCCACCATACGTGTTCTCACCCCCATTTTCATTCTTTGCAGTTGACATACGCCCGCAAAACAAACTAGGAGACTCTTTTGATTGGCTCTTGTAACTTTTTAAAAAGCCCGCATTCTTATAAGGCCGCTTACAACAACACGTTCCATATCTTCGATGGATGACTACTAATTTAGTTTCTGATACAATTGAGGGCTTTCTTCTTATCTTTTGAGATATGATCCAGATTTTTTGCATGATACTCGCTCAAGTTTCAGCAGTGGACGCTGTTATCTTACTTGAATTGTCTAGGCTTTCGACATGTCGCCCTTTCACACCTATTTATATATTTATTATTCCAGTATTTTTATTTCTTTACAAAGCCAGTTTCCTATTAAAAATATTAGATTATATCATAATTTTATAGTTATATCGCTAATAACCATATCAAACGCGCGCCGAATAAGTCGTAATTTTTTTCCGCAAGTATTCGTTACTGTTGTTTCAAATTGGTAAAGCCTATGTAGAGGTCATGAGGGTGGTACCACTTTCTTTCGTACGACATGTATACCTATTTATTATTCATAAGTCCCTCATTACGTTACTAGAATATCGCATATTTATTCGAATTGGCTTCGATAATGGGGTTCGTGTGATATAAACTAGGGGAGTGTTTAACTCCTACTAATGCAACTCCTATATCTGTTGCTAAGACATTCCATGTTAGATCGTTGACTAAAATCCACTAAACTAATTCGTCATTGCCTAATTATGCCAATAAGTTGGTAAAGCAGGATGCTTAAATGCCTTTGTTGCCAATGACTTTATCCTTGAGGATGACTCCAGGCCCTCCATTTCTCCGTCTGATGCGCATTTCCTTAATTCTTTGCCCACCAGGTATTGAGAAGCATATTAACTGGCTTATTAATCCGCATTCATTTTCAAGTGACATCATCCCGAGTTCTCTTGTCAATCAGACATTTTTCACATCTGCTGAGCAAATACTTGTCAGCTTTACGCGAAAACGATCCGTCCTCGGATACTTAGAAAACCTACATTATTATTCCAGCTCTAAATTCAGCTCCAGTTATTATGGTCAAAATTACTAGTATCTTCATAAAGCCCTTCCCTTGCAATACTGTTTTTTTCCAATCACATAAATGATGCTTAGTTAAACAGGAAACACAGCGAATTCATAATCACTTATTGATGTCAAGATCAACATGGCTAATGGAGTTATAGCCTTTTGAATGTTGCTACGTGTGTTTTGGGGCTTTGACAGCTACTTCAACCAGCGACTTTTTCAAGTCGCGAGTTTAGCTGAACTTTTTTTCATCAAGGAATTCAGTTAAAGGCACCACAACCATTTAGATAACTCGCCTCATGCAAACAGAATTACGCGTAAGGCTGCTCAGATGTGAAGCCTTATTTCATATCACTTCTACCTCCCTTAAAATAAGACTTTATCGAATGTTTGTCTACTCCAAACTTGAACACTGCTGTCTATTCTTTGTTTTACTGGACAAAGTTATCATTCTATGCCTTAAATGCCCAAAGACATTTTACTTGAAAACGCTAACCTTCGACGCATCTAAGTACTTCCCACTCCACCAGACGCTAGTTGACTAACCCAAAATGTCTACTAATATAAACACCAAATCTTCCCCGGAGTTCAGTCCTTATCCCTTTTTGTCGCCAGTATGGCCTTCATAATCCTTCCTTGATTAAACTTCCTCCCGCCTCCTCCTCCCTTAAACACCTTATTCCTTTTCGGGTATACCTTCATTTGCCATAAGCCATCAATGGGTGTTATCTCCTAAAAAAGTTTAGAAAGATAAAAAAGGAAAATATGTTTTATTGTGAAGCCAAGTAACCAAAATTTTCAGTAAGAAAGGGCTCCATTCACGGAGAGTAAAGTAAAAGGTCATATAACACTCAAAATTTAAAGGTTTACATTATATCTACATCTGTTATGGTGATTGGTCGCCTTTCAACTTCCAAATTTCCGTTCATTCACACGTCAGGTAGCGTGCTAGGAATGGGACTATAGAGTGCTGATATGCCTATGTACGGCAATGCATATGACGGAAGCCTCGGCGCATAGTACGCAAAGACTTCGCAGCCATTAGTTTAGAGTGGACAAAGTGAGCAACCTCAGTAAGGATACAATGAGCAAGTTGCTTGACCGTTTTAAGATGTCGCTGTATTATCATATCAACTAAAAAACATAGGAAACGCCGGCAGGCAAAGAGAGCATTCCGAGGAAAAGCTGTTTAACGACCAGGTATTCTCTTACGTAAAGCTGGAAGAATAACTGGAGAGTAGTAACGAATTGGGGAGAGAATGCAGACATCCATAAAACGCCAGATTAGGACTTGCACTGTGCGATATGATCGCAAACGGTCGATATAATATAAAAGTTTACCGATTTAAAAAAGGCCTTCAATATGAAGAATAAAAGAGAATTTGATGCCAGAGTAACACCATGGTACCGGAGAGGGGATGACTCGTAGGACGGAATGTCAATTGATTCAGGACTAGGAGAGGGTCACTGTCAAAAACCGCACTGGACTGTCTGGTCGTGAAGTAGAAGGCCATTTGTTCACGACCATACTGGGATGTGGTTCAGGCCATCCATCAGCAATTTAAGTCGTATCTGACTTTTGAGAGGATGGCCAAAAGCATATCACCAATACATTTGACGTACAAACATTCATTTGGCGATCGCAGGTAGTCAGTTTAGATGGAGGAGAGGTGAGAGAATAATACAGACCCTTGGAGAATTCCACAGTTGTTGGGTAGGACCGTG